GATACGGCTGAGCTGTTTCCAGGTACACACGGGGGATGCACCGTGTACAGAGTAAACGGTTACCCGGTGCGTTGCCTTTGCTTTGAAGTTGGCGACTCTTTCGAAGAGCTCGCTGAGTTGGTCGGCGGTATCTGCGTCAAAATGCAAACGGTCAATCTACCGTTCAACCTCTTGATCGCCGACCATGGCGCGCGCGTCTTCTTGATTCCGCAAATGTTCTCCATTCGCATCGCAAGTGATAAAATTCCAGAGTATATCGTTTCGACGGGTGTCAATCCAGCGGTGTTTGAAATCTCTGGACACCTACTTTACAAGCAACAGGCGGACTACGACGAGTGCACTCAGGCGAGCGCAGAAGCACTCCTAGCGAGCGCTTCGCTGACGGAGGAACAGTTCGTCAAGTTGATTGATTACACTGTCGGTGAACACAAAACAAGTGAAAACTCGGCCGAGGTCCTCTCATCGATTCCCGAGTCGGAACTTTGACGAAATTTGTCCTTCTCTGTACCACTATCAGCTCACATTCTTTTATATTCGGTTGCAAATTGTCGTGTCATTGCTCGACAGGAACACGCACGCGTCCATGTCACTCATTTTATATCTATCTAACCTTCATCTTTTGCGGTGCGCCACTCCGATCGCTTCTTCTACGCTTTTGAAACCATCGCGCGCCAGGCATTCCTCGAGTTCGCGTTTGATCTTCAGGATCAGCGGAGGCCCTCCGAACGCGAAAGCTGTGTAAAGCTGCACAAGCGTCGCCCCAGCGCGAATCTTCGCATACGCGTCCTCGCCGCTCGCGACGCCACCGCATCCCACGAGAGGAATTTTTCCGCCAGTGAGTCTATATAACTCGTGCAGCACTCTGGTACTTGACTCCATCAAGGGTTTACCGCTCAGCCCACCGGCTTCGTCCCCGTGCTTATGCGCTTTGATCTCTTCTGGCCTCGCTACGGTCGTGTTACTCACGATGACGCCGTCCACCTTTTCGCTCTTCACCACGCTCGCCACGTCCTTGATCTCGGCGTCGGTGAGATCAGGGGCTATCTTTACCAGCACGGGTTTCTTCGCCGTGGCCGGGTTGCGATCGCGCGCGCTCAAAACTTTCCGCAAGAGCCCACTCAGGTGCTTGCGTCCCTGCAGATTTCTCAGGCCCGGAGTGTTTGGCGACGACACATTCACGACGATGTAATCACCGTACTCACCGATATTATCGACACCTAGGACGTAATCATCCGCTGCGTTCGCCTCGGGCGTCGTCTTATTCTTACCCAGGTTGACCCCGAGGACGCCCGCTGGGACGTCCTCACGCGCTCTGTACGCCGCCAGTCGTCCCTTCGCACTCTCGTGTCCCTTACTATTGAAACCGTACCGATTGATCACCGCTCCGTGCTCGATCAGGCGAAATGCTCGCGGCTTGGGATTCCCAGGCTGTGGCTGTGGCGTCACGCTTCCGATCTCGACGAATCCGAATCCCATCTTCATGAGCGCCTCGAACGCGCGGGCATCCTTGTCAAACCCCGCGGCCAATCCTATGGGGTTCGCGAACGTCGTCCCGAACGCCCGAACGGTCAGAGATTCAGAATCGCGCGTCCTCTGCCTCGGCCCCAATCCGAGCTCCAGCATCGCGATCCCCAAATCGTGCGCCAGCTCGGGATCGAGCGCTCGAAACGCCGGCGTCGCCGCTCCGTACGCCGCGTACTCAAACGACTCCGCCATCTCCGAATCGCTCGCGCGCACCAATCCAAACGCCCCGATCGCCGTCATCACCGTCACAGACACCGTTCGCAGCGCCCTCGCGCTCGTCGCATCCTCCGACGTCCCGCTCTGCGACGAAAACCTCGACCGAGACGAAACCGTCGCTGACGCTCGACGCGCATCGATCGTCACCGTCTTCATCGCTCGAGACGCCGCGACGTCCTCGAGCGCTCGCGATGCGTTGAGAATATTTCCATGTCTGCGAAACGCGTCGATACCGCGTCGTCGCATCTCGCGTCGCCGCTCAGTGACGCGCGAATCGCCGAACGCGAGCACACCGTGCCGCACACGACGACGCGCTTTTTTAAAACCACATCAAAGGTGCGTCGCTCGGCGCGCATCGCGCGATCGAACGCGAGGAGACGCGCGGGTAATTCGTCGGCGGCGCGCACCGCGACGGCGCGCGCGAACGACCGCGCGCGCGTCGTCGAAGGGTGGCTGAAACAACGTGACGTCGATCATCGAGTGCGCTGTGGATGACGGAGGTTTCGATGACGTTTGACGACGAACGGTGACGACCATCGCCCGGAGAGGGATCGTGAGAGAGGTTTTGGTGACTGACGATGCGTTTACGAGCGCGCGAAGATGTTTGCGATGAAAACGAGCGCGGTGATGGGTACATCCGCGCGGGCGCGACGGAGCCGAGGCGTAGCGTCGAGGGCGGTTTCGACGACGACGCGCGCGGAGGGTGGGTCGGATTGGAAGCCGATGGCGGTGACGAAGCCGAACTTGGTGAATAATCTGGACGGGAAGACGACGAGGAACATCGATGGGAAGGTGTACACGATCGAGGCGAGAGGGGAATCGATCGTGGTCACCGATAAGTTTGGCGCCTCGTTTGAGTCGCGAGTGAACAAGGCGGGCGTTATCGAGGCCAACATGGCGGCGCGCGTCGGCGCCGCGGGCGGTGGCGCCGATGACGTTGATTTTGCGTCATTGAAACCGACCGATATCGTCGGGTTCAACGCGAAGTATAAGATCCCGGAGATTGTCAACGGGCGCGCGGCCATGGTGGGTGCGGTGCTGGCGCTCTTCTCCAAGATTGGCGGCGGCGGCTCCGTGGCGCACCAAATGTTTACCCCGGGTGGATTCAGTTCCATGTGCTTCATGATGGGAGCCGTCACCGCGGCGACGCTCGCACCCGCGGCGTTGGGCAAGACGTCCCTTCGCGCTGCGATCCCGGATGAGAACGCCAGCTTCCCGAACGAGCGCCTGCCAACTACGTGGACAGCAACTGCAGAAGCCCTCAATGGCAAGGTCGCCATGGTCATCTTGACCCTCGCGCTTATCACGGGCAACTAAGCGACGATGATTTTTAATGCGAATCGAAGCAATTTTTTCTTCGCCACGTGTCACAATATATTAAAATGTTCAAATCTTCGTGGACGCGACTAGTTTGGGGGGTGACTGCATTCAGGGAAGTGAAATCGCCTCACTGTTGTCGCCCGTATCCGCCGTACCCGGCGTACTGCGCGTTCTGCGCGTACGCGGCGTAGTAACCTTGCTGCATTTGCTGCTGCTCGGCGTATTGGCTTGACCGAGTATCGCGGCGAGTGCCGTTATGTTCAGCACCGCGCTGCGCGTTGCCGTCTTGAGCCTTGTACCCCGGCGGCGCATTGGCGCCTTGCTTGCCGTTTGGAGCGGCTCCCGGGTACACACCGGCCGCGGGCGGGTACGGGTAGTGGGACTGCACAGCGTACGGATACGCAGGCTGGTGCGGCATGGCGTAAGGGTAAGAGTACATGGGGTGACCGTAGGCATTCGGCATGTTGGCGAAGGCTTGAATTGGCTGGGCGGAGGCACCCGAATTTGACGCACTGGGCGCGTGAGCCTTGTCGCCCGCCGGTTGCTGGCTTTGCTGCTGCACCTGAGCGGCGGCTTGCTGCTTGTAGTAATCCGCGTAGGCGGTGTTTTGTTCAGCGTTTTGCGGTTGTTGATAGCCCTCGTACCCGGCGTAGCCACCCGCCATCGGAACGGCCGGAGGCATCATGTAGTTACCGTACGCGTTCGGCATCATGCCGCCAAAGTACGCCGGATACGCCGCTTGCTGCTCCATCGCGCTCGTCGTCGTCGGAGCGCTTCCGTTGACGACGTCGGGCAACTTGGACGCCACGCCGGCGTTTCTAATAGGTTGCTTCTTGCTCGCATCCGGTTGACCTTGTGATTGTTGCATGCCCCAGCCGGCGGAGGCGGACGCGTCAAAGCCAAATCCAAAGTCAGCCCCAGAGGAGGAGAAATTACCGAACTGGAGACCAAGATCTTGCGCTTGAGCGCGCTCATTCGATGGTGCGGCTTGCTGCGGGCGAGGCGTGGCGGCCGCTGGCGCAGCCGGCTCGAAACCAAATCCAAAGCTGTCGGCGGACGGTTGTTGACCAGCTACTGGTTGCGCTCGCGCTTGCGCCGCCGCCTGGGCAGCCACTTGCTGCGATTGCACCACCGGCGGTTGCGCTGCAGCAACCGGTTGCGCCGCAGGACGTTCGACGCCCTTCGTGCGCTGCGCCCAGTTCATCGCACCGTCCGCTTGTTCCGCCGCCGCAGGGGCCTTCGGCACAGGCTTGCCCCCTTGCGGTCGCGACGCAACGCCACCCTTGGCGCCTCCGCGAGCAACCGGAGCCGACGCGGCCGGAGCCGGCGTTGGATCACCTCGCACTAGATCCGCGAGCGTCTTACCGCCACCGCCCGGTCGAATCGGCGCCGGGTTCGCTACCGCCGCTGCCGGTGCCGTCGTCGGAGCCGTCGTCGCGGGCGGAGCCGCCGCCCGCGCCTGAGCCGCCACCGGCGCGGCTGCCGGCGCCGGCTTTCCCCCGCGCTCACCCGCGCGTGGAAACGGTAACTTACCATTGTCGTGCTTACCGTTCTTAGCCGGTTTCCCATCGCGCTCACCGTTCTTAGCCGGTTTCCCATCGCGCTCGCCGTTCGCGCGTCCGTTCGACCGCTCGTTTCCAAGCTTTCTGTTTCCGTTCTCCGTCTTCCCATTCTTGACCCCGTTCGCCCGCGCGCCGTTGGTCGATTTCTTCGCCACCTTCTTCCCGATCGTCTCAAACTTTTCCACTGCGATGCACGAGACGCGCGCGCGAGTGATCGTCGTCAGTCTCTCTCCCGTCTTCGCAAAAGTCCTCTTCCCGCCAAAGCGCTTCACGTGCACAGGAGTCGTGATTCGTCAGCCGCCAAAACCACCGGATGGATCGTCTTCGCACGATCTGTCTTCGCACGCGAAACGCGACGGGTCCACGCATCGCGCGGTTTCTTTAACGAGTCAAACGCACTGTTTAGCAGCTTATCGATCGCCGTCTCCACGTCCCCTCCGCACTGCTCGAGCACGGCCGAGCAATCGCTCTCGGTGTGTCCGCTCAGCGCGGCCAAGTCGCGCGCGGTCGTCATCTTTTCCGTGTTTCCAGAGCTCCCGACCGCGTTGTGATTCGTCTACGGTGCGCAACGCGTGAAGATAAATTCCTCGCAGTTTTGTCCGCTGTCCGCGTCGCGTGGGGCGTCCGCGTGAGGCGAGTGCGTTGGGGCGTGCGCGTGTGACGTCGGGGCATCGCTGCGTCTCCTGAGTTGACTTGCGATTTAGTGACGAGTCATTATTCAACGAATAGGGACTCGTGAAGACGTGGATGCAAAAGCGCGCGCGCGTTACAAGCGGGACGCTCGGCGGTCATCTCGGGGTGACGAAACGTCGAGCGCGCGCGCCAAATCTTCTATCGCGCTTAGCATAGGCGTGAAACGCCCTTCGGAGCTCCGCCTCGCCGAACTCGGGCCACATCATGTTCGCGAAGTAGAGCTCGGTGTACGCCAGGTCCCACAAGAGAAAGTTGCTCAGACGCATCTCGCCCGAGGTGCGAATCAAGAGATCGGGGTGTTGGGAGAAATTCAACGGATCCTCGTTCGCGGATCGAGCGTCGTAGGTAGATAAATGGGCGCTCAGAACGTCCTCGTCGATGTCCTCGGCTCGCAACTCTCCCGAAGCCACCTTGTTCGCGAGCGCCTTGGCGGCTTGGACAATGTCCTGACGACCGCCGTAACTGAGCGCGACGACGAGTCTCAAGGTTGAGTTGTGCTTAGTCGCTTCTACCGCTCGTCCTACCGCCTCTCGAACGCCCTCGCTCACCTTGTCCAGGTCGCCGATGACCTCCACGCGAACGCCCTCTTTGACAAGAAGCGGCAACTCGTCTTGGAGCGCCGTCTCCACGAGCGCCATGAGTTCCGTCACCTCTACCTGATTCCGTCCGAAATTCTCCTGACTAAACGCGAACACCGTGAGTGTTCGCACGTCCCACGCGGCGCAGCAACGAACGACGCCTCGCAAAGCGCTCACGCCTCGCTCGTGTCCAACGCTTCGCGGGAGCCGTCGGCGAGTCGCCCACCGCGCGTTCCCATCCATGATGATCGCCACGTGATTCGGCACGCGATCGCTCGCCAAACCACTCAAAGGCGCTGGCTTCCCGTCCCATCGCGTCGCCGCCCCTCTGGGAGCGCCGAACACGCTCCCAAACCCGGCGAGCGCGTTCCGTCCCCACCCGCCCGCGCGTCTCTCCTCACTCTCCTCGATCCGCCCGCTCGTCGACGCTTCGTTCGCCGTGGACGAAGAAATATCGAAGTGGTCGTCCTTCCACGCGTCGTCACGAAACGCACGAGGCGCGAGGGAGAGAGAGAGACGCTTTCGTGAGACGTGACGATTCTTTCTCGATTTCTCGTCGACGCGTCGCGTGCGCGCGCGCGCGTGCGGCGTGGGCGCGAAGTCGACGCGCGCGAACGACGCGCGCATCGTGTGAATTCGCTCGGTGCTCGCGTGGAGCGAAAGCGCGATCGAGTGCGGGGTACCGAGTCGGGGTCGTCTCGGTATCATTCGCTCCACGCCGAGGCTCGGACGGCGTCTGACATTCGCGCGCTCGCGCGCGAACGGCGACGCATTTTCACGCGATGACTAGTTGATACAAAGTCTAGTGTTTTTCGAATAGGATCAAGTGCTCGGTGCGCGCCTGGTTGTACACGTTGCCACTCTCGGTGGTTGTCGTGAGCTTCATCGTCGCTCCGGCGAGCGTTTTCAATCCAAACTTCTCGGCGGCGCTGACCATGGAGGCGCGCGTATCGATGTTCGCCCCGTCGCCGACCATGATACACGCACGACCGCGAGGTTTGAGTGAGTGCGCGACGACCTCGAGCCATTCCTCTTGTTCTCGCTGCCATGCGTCACGAAACGCATAGGGATCAGATCGAAGCGCTCGTCGTGAGCCAATCTCACCCTCCATCCACTCTTTCGGCCAGTTTCGGTCGCCAGGAACGACGGTGTTGACGTAAGACGACGTTGGACCCTGACTTCTCGGCGAAGACGTGGAGACGACCGCACCACTCCCGGCACGAACTTTTCGCGCAAAGGACAGGTAATCGTACACCGCGGGGTACGGACACGACGTCAGCACCGCATCCACCTTGGCTTCGTCCGCGAGCTTAAATCGTCGCACGTCGATGTTATGAATCTCCGCGTCCGGCGCTTGGGAGTCGCACGTTGAGCACATCGCTCGAAACTGCCGAAGTCTGTCGGCGTATTCCTCCACTACTTTATAAAATATGTCGGCATTGTCCTCACCGCCTCGCGAGCCGCCGCTTCTCTTCCCCTTCCCCTTACGCGGCCTCGCTTTGCTCTGCGACTTTTGTGTGCGCTGCAGCGCTACGGACATACAAAACCACAGCGACTCGTCCACGCGCCCGCCGCTCACTCCCCCATTGCTCGCTCGAAGCGCGTCCCGGATGCGCCGCCACGCTCTGGGAACGCCTCCGTCTCCGGCCTCCTCGGCGTCGCTCTCAACGCTCTGCTCCTCTGCCGATTTCGCCAAATCTCGCGCCGCACTCGCCCTGTGAACCATTTCATCGATCGTCGTCTCGTCCGGTCGCCAGCATCGATGCGCGCTGACGAAACACGCGAGCGGACTCACATCCGTCCCCACCGCCCGCATGCCGAGCGTAGCCGCGCACACGAGCGTGGTCCCACCACCCGCGAACGGATCGAGCACGCTCGTTGATCCACTCAGGACGTCTCTTAAGATTAAATCACACGCCGCCGGCTGCATTCCGGCCAAGATCTCTCCGAAACCGTGCGTGCACCGAGGGAACCCGCTCGGCGTCGAGGCGAACCCGTGCGTCCACTGCACGCGCATCGCTCTGAGTAACTTTTCCCCAATCACGTCGTCCCCGAACGCGCGCTCCTCGAACGACGACGCCGTCGACGCCTTTCGCACGTACGCCAACGTCTCGTCGTCGACGTCATCGCGCCACGCACGGCCGTCGGCGTCGTTCGACCCACCCCTCGGGCCGCCGCCGATGACCCGAGCGACGTTTCGCGTCCTCGTCCTCGTCCGCGCCAGCGCGCGCGCGTCCAGACCTCTCGCGCGCGCGAGCGCCATGATCGCCCACGCCGACGCGCGCTCGAGCGCGCGCGCGACGCGGGCTCGAGCGCGCGACGGTTCGTGTCGCCGTGTGCGGTGCGATGTCCATCACGGTGCGAAACGCGTCACGTCGTCAGTCGTCGACGTCGCGCGCGAGCTCGCGCGATGACGAGCGTGGGATTTTTAGGTCTCGGAATCATGGGCGCCCGCATGGCGCTCGTCTTGGCGCGCTCGGGCCGGAGCGTGCGCGTGTGGAATCGCTCGAGGGATAAATCGCTCAGGCTGCTCGAAGAGTTTGAAGAGACGAAAACGCCGACGTGCGGCGCCGTGGTCGTCGCGAACGCCGCGGAGGAGGTTCGTGAGCGATGTGAGATGACGTTCGCGATGCTGGCGGATCCGAAGGCGGCGCGAGCGGTGGCGAAGGCGTACGCGGGGAACGACGCGCGCGCGGCGGATGGCGTTCGGCGGACGTACGTCGATTGCTCCACGGTGGACGGCGCCGCGGGAGAGGAGACGAAGGCGGTGATGAAGAGCGCTGGGATCGATTTCTTAGCCGCGCCGGTGAGCGGGGGATGGCGCGAGGCGGCGAAGGGTGAGCTATTGTTTCTATGCGGCGGCGATGGCGAGGCGTACGACGCCGCGTCGCCGCACCTCGAGGTGATGGGAGCGAAGAAGTGGTTGGTCGGTGACAGCCCGACGCACGCGGCTCGAGCAAAATTGATGTTGCAAATCATGATGGGGAACGTCGTCGCCGCGCTCGGAGAAATGCACGGCCTGAGCGAGCGCGCCGGGTTGGACACGGATGCGGTGCTCGAAATGTTATCGCACTCCGCCATGGGTTCACCGCTCACAACGTCGAAGGGTAAGCTCATGCGCGCGAGGAACTTCTCGCCGAATTTCCAGGTGTACCTGCAACAGAAAGACCTACGACTCGCCCTGGATCTCGGGGATGAGCTTGAGTATCCGATGCCTATTTCGGCCGCGACGAACTCGCAATACTTGCGCGCAAAATCGCTCGGGCACGCCAACAGCGATTTTTCCGCCGTCGCTGTCGCATACACGAACGAGCGCGCTCCGGGAACCACGAATTAGATTTCATGATTTCATCACAACGAACACTATACGTAAGACTACAAGGTAAACTTTGCAATACCGTACCTATGCAACACGCGGAGAACATATACGGATGTTTCAGAACATACACAGATGTTTTACTAGGCGTGGATTTCTCCTGTTTTACCTTGTACGAATTTCGGCACGTTTTTGCAACACGCGACACGTGTGCGCGGATAACGCGCCGACAAACCATTACGGAGATTCGTCAAAATCCGGCAAACTTTGCTCGTCGCTCGTGACCGAGGTGTCCATGAGCGCCGCCAAGGTCGTGGCAATCTTTGCCGCCTCACTGGCTCGAACGCGCATCTCTAACTTGGATTGGCTCCCTGTGATCTTGTCCTTGAAATTGAATATTGCCGACTGGAACTCAGGGTAGGACTCGCCGCCGTGTAATGCCGCATCGGTACCGATGCGCTCCTGTTCGCTCGAGATTCGGAGCCAACCGTACTTTTTGATGAGCCACATCACTGGTACAAAGGTGACTGTTACCCAGATGATGATGGAAACGATGTAAAGCATTGCGTTGCCCAGCACAGCGGGACCCTTGGCGCATCCGTAAACGAGGCCACATCCCGCGTACGCCTCGCCGTACGTCTGCTGGAGGAACCGTTTATCGCTGAACAGGGCGGCGGCGATGACGCCCCAGATACCGTTAAAAAAGTGGATGGGTACCGCATCGACGACGTCGTCCAGGCGCCATACGTGCGTCATGAGATGTGACGTGATGACGTATATAAACCCGGCGACGAAGGCGATGCAGAGAGAGATGGAAATGTGGATGTGCGCTGCAGAGGCGCTGGCTGCGACGAGCGCGGAGAGCGAGCCGTAAATCATTCGGAACGGCATAAAGACGTTCGGCTCCAAGTAGAGATCTATCGCCATCACGGTACATCCACCGACGGCGCCGCTGAGGGTGTGTATCAGACCAACGCGGGCGAGCGACGCGATCCTTGGTCCAGCCAAGGTTTTGATGGATCCGCACGTAAATCCGTACCAGCCGTACCACATTATGAGACCCCCGATGACTTGAAACACTGGGCTTTGCTGTGGCATCGGATTCGGTGCTCGCTTGCCCTTGGTGAAGCGCCCTTGACGCGGGCCGATGAGATATGTGAGCCAAAACGCGGCGCAGCCGCCGACGACGTGCACAAAACCGCTCCCGGCGTAATCGAGCACGCCAACGCTGGAGAGCAGTTTATGCTGCGACCGCACCGGTGCGAGCCATCCGTCGTCTCCCCACGACCAGTGGACGACCACGGGGAAGATCAACCCACTCACGAGCGTCGCCGCGACAAAGTACGCCCTGAACGAGCACCTCTCCGCCACGGCTCCGCTCACGATGGTCGCCGACGTCGCCGAAAAACACATCGTAAAAAACGCCTGCGTGTACGACACCACTACGTCCCCCGTCGCTTCAGAACCCGACAAATTATCGGTGCGCATGGCGAACCCGTCGCCGACGCGCCCGCCGAAGACCCCGCCCCCGACGGATTTCCCCAGCGCCAACCCGTACCCAATCAGGAAGAAACTCACCGCGCTCGCGCACAGATCCATCACGTTCTTCAACAAGATCCCCTTCGTGTTCTTCACCCGCACGCTTCCGACCTCGAGCATGGCGAACCCTATCTGCGCCGCGAACACTAACATCGCGCACACGTTCAAGAAGACGGCATCCGCCTTTCGAATGTCCAAGCTCAGCAAGTAGACGTTCACGCCCAGCGCGTCGAACGCGGCGATCGTGGCGTTCACCGCGTTCGCGGCGGCGGGATCACTAAAACTCATCTCGCGCGCGCGGCGGGCGTCGCGTCGGGACGTCGCGACGCGTCCCGGCGCCCTCTCAAGGTCTCTTGAAATGCCCTGAGCGCGTCCTAACTTTAAGACCCGAGTTAGGCGAAAATGACTACAAGTACAACCTACCCGGAGATTAGATTAACCTAACCGGAGATAGTCAAAATCCGACACGAGCGCCGGAGAATCACCGCGACGTAGATCACGGCGATCGTTTCACGAGACTCCCCGCGACGACGACGAAAGCGAGATGGGCGTCGCGCGATCGCTCGCCCCCCCGGCTCGTCGGGCCCGTGGGCTCGACCGAGCGCTCGGACGCGCGCGACGCGAGAGCGCGCCGCGAGCGATGCGCGCGCACGTCCGAAGCGTCGACGCCGAGGACGGGACGCGGGTCGAACTCTTCGTCGTCGAACCGACGACGACGCGGGACGGCGCGAGGGGTGATGACGCGACGGATTGGTTCATCCTGTTGCACGCGCATCCTAAATTGGGTGGTGATCGAACGATGATGACGCCGCTCGCGCGGGCGCTGAGCGCGCGTGGATACGGTGCGGCGTGTGTCGCCGCTCGAGGCACGTCGGGGTCGTCGGGGAGCTCGTCTTGGCGCGGGAGTGCGTCGGAGGGGATGGACGCGTGCGCGGCGGTGGATTGGGCGACGAAGACGGGCGGCGGGGACGGATCGAAGGTGCGAGCGCACGTCGTCGGGTACTCGTACGGGTCCACGATCGGGGCGTGGGCGTTGGATAAACGAGAGGCGATCGCGTCGTACGTCGCGATCGGGTATCCCAGGGGTGGGTCTTGGTGGAACTGCGGAGTTATGGGCGCCGCGGCGAAGTGGTTGATGCGGGATCACTTCGAGGCGCTCCGTGCGAGTTCAAAACCAAAGTTGTTCGTGCATCCGAGTCGAGATGAGTTTACGTCGACGGCGACGATGGAAAGATTCGTGCGTGAGAAGTTGCAGAGCGGCGGAAAGACGGAGTTGCGCGTGTTGAACGGGCACGGGCACTTCACGGTTACGGATGACGACGACGCGGTGGCGACCATCGCGCAGTGGATCGAAGAGTTCGTTCGACGCGTCGTGGTAGAGGGCGAAGGTGAAGATTAGCGGTCAATACAGCGTTTGCGAGCACTAGTTACTAGAGATAGACTTAGCGATTGAGGAATGAGCGAACACATAGTTGAAGAACTACGCGCGTCTCACTTGGACATCAAAATGACGCACCCGCGAGGCGCGACGTTGTATCGAGACTCTACCCCAAACTTACCTTTGACGATAAAGTCCTCAGGGGAGGGCAAATTCGTGTCGACGATTCTCGCCCATCGTTTCCCGTTGGGCGGTGACGGCAACGCGGCGTCGACGTAGAACTCGTGCGCGTTGAAGGCAATGTACAAGTCTCCGCATCCGTACCCGGCGGAATCGTGCAACGTGAACGCCAAAAACTTCGATTGCGGATCGTCCCATCGATCTTCGTGCCAAGTGACGTCTGCGTCGGTCAGAAAGGTCTCGCGACCGAGAAGCGGATGCAACCGGCGGAATTTGACCATCTCCGAAGCAAAGCGGAAGTAGTGCTCCTTTTGACTGTCGAGCTCGTTCCACTGGAAGTTGTTCAACTTGTCGTCGTGCCCGTACGTGTTGTTATTTCCATGACGCGTGTGACCGTACTCGTCGCCCATGAGCATCATCGGTGTACCTTGGGAGATCATCAGTGCCACATGAAAGTTTTTCATCTGTCGCCAGCGAAGCGCCTTAACAGATTCGTCGCTCGTGTCGCCCTCGTGACCGCAGTTCCACGAGTAGTTATCGTTGGCGCCGTCGTTGTTAAACTCTCCGTTCGCCATGTTGTGTTTCGTGTTGTAGCTCACTAAGTCGCGCAGGGTGAAGCCGTCGTGAGCGGTGATGAAGTTCACGGAGTGATACGGCTTGCGATTGTTATGATGGTACATGTCCGACGAGCCGCTGATGCGACGAGCAAAATCGCTCTTCATACCCTCATCGCCCTTGATAAAACGACGCAGAACATCGCGATAGGCACCGTTCCACTCCGACCACCGATCCCAGTTCGGGAAGCTTCCGACCTGGTATAATCCGCCGCAGTCCCATGGCTCGGCGATGAGCTTGACGTGCGCGAGCTCTGGATCCTTTGCGATGGCGCGGATGAGCGGCGGTGAGTTCATTGGATGACCCTGTTCGTCGCGACACAGCGCACTTGCGAGATCGAAGCGGAAGCCGTCGACGTGATACTCTTTCACCCAGTGTTTCAGCGAATCGAGTATGAACTGAGACACATACGGATTATTCGCATTGAGCGTGTTGCCACAACCCGTAAAGTTCAGCATTTGCACGTACTGGTTTGTATCCGTCATGTAGTACGTCTTGTTATCGATGCCGCGCATCGAGCACGTGTTCGGGAGCTCGTCGTTCATCTCGCCAGTGTGATTGTATACGACGTCGAGGATGACTTGGATGCCCGCCGCATGAAGCGCCCTGACCATCTCCTTAAACTCTCGCGATGCCTCTCGAGCCGAGCAGCCCTTCTTTCCGAACCGCGTCATCGGTGCAAAAAAGCTCATCGTGCTGTATCCCCAAGTGTTCACCATGTGATCACGCGGATTCGGAATTCTCTGGAACTCCATCTCGTCGTACTCAAACACCGGCAACAGTTCGACGACGTTGACACCCAGAGACTTTAAGTGTTCAACTTTCGCGGCGACGCCCGCGTACGATCCGCGCGCGTCAGCATCTAATCCCGAGCTTGCATCCGCGGTAAACGCGCGAACAGTCATCTCGTACACGATCATATCCTTCTCGTCGATTTGCGGCGACTCCACGCCTCGCCAATCGAACGGAGCTGACTCAAAATCGTAACCGCTCAACATATCCGGATCGTTCGTGTCACCGCTCACCTTGTGCTTCGACCACTCTCCAAAGACCTTCCGTCTCGCCTCGACGAGCGGCGCGTACGGATCCATGAGCACTTTCGTCGCATCGAATCGCTGCCCGGTGTCCCAACCACCCTCGCCGTTGATGCGATATCCGTACCGCATCCCACTCCTCACCATCCCACTGATCATCTTAATGTGCCACACGTCTCCCGTTCGCATCATCGGCACCTCAAACCGAGGCTTCACGCGCGTCCAGTCGTCTTCGGCGTCGTACGCGCACAACGTCACCGCTTGCGCGCTCGAAGCGCATCGCACCGCGAAGTTCACCCCGCCGTCCGTCGTCGCGCTCGGTCCGAGCGGTTCGGCGTCCCCACTGACCCAGGCAATTTCGGAATTTGACCCCCGCATCGTCTCCGACGCGCCGAGCGCCGAGCGCGTCGTCGAACAGCGCTCGAGAGATGAGTTTCCAAAATGACGCTGGCGCCGCTTCGATCGCTCTTCGTTCCCGACGCGTCGCCCGCGCGCGGCGAACGAGGTCGCGCCGTCGACGGAAACAATCGTGAGCATCTACGGACGAGCGCCGACGTCCGTGCGGCGTCTCGGAGTGCGGGACGCGCGCGATCGCTGTGTCACTGAACGACGCGCGGCGATCCATAAAGATGAGCGTGACGACGAACGCGAGCGACGCCACGGACGCTGGTGTGCCCAGGGCCAAGGTGGGTATATCGCATAACGCCGCCGCGCGCTCGATCGCGACGAAGCGCGAGAGACGGGGACGTGAAACGCGCGATGGGTCCGTGAGGTTGACTTTACGACGAACTCGTTGATTCCTTTGACCTCGACGACTGACTGCGAATCGCGCGCGTTTCGTCGCCAACGCAGTTCATCGAGGACGTCGCCGCGCACGTGGGCGACGGCGAGGTGGACGACGCTTTATCGGAGCTCCAAAAGCGATACTCGGCGTACAAGCGGCTCGAAGCGGAGCTGCAGCAGGCGAGAATACGTCTGTCGCAACAGCTCCCGGACGTTAAACGCTCGTTAGAGGCGGTGGACGTTTTGGTAGAGAAGCGTGATCGAGGAGAGGAGGAGGGGACGACGGTGCGGTATCAGTTGACGGAGGCGACGTTCGCGGACGCGGAGGTGGCGACGCCGGAGAGCGTGTACCTATGGCTCGGGGCAAACGTGATGTTGGAGTATCCCTTGGACGAGGCGAAGGAGCTGTTGGAGGCGAACGTGAAGGCGTGCGAGAGCGGGTTGGAGGCGAACGCGAGGGATCTGGCGGTGATCAAGGACAACGTGACCATCACAGAGGTGAACATGGCGCGGCTGTACAACTGGGACGTCACAAAGAAGAAGGAGCAAGGCGCCAAGAGCTCTGACGGCGCGTGAGCGCGCGTCTCGAGCGCGCACGTTAGAATTAATCTAAAAGTCATGTCGCGATCGAATCGAACACGTCACGCGTCATTCATCGTCGTCGCGCTTCTTCCCGCGCGTCGCGCCTATCCAGTCGCCCCCTCATTGCGCGACGTCATGCGTACGCTCGCGCGCCCCGTCGTCCCGATTCGCACCCCAGTTGGACGTAACGTGTCACGCGCGTCGTCTAACCGTGCGTCGAACACAACGCTCAAAGCGTCGTCGACGAACAACGATTCAGAATTAACAGCGCCCAAGTTGACCAAGCGCCAACTCGCGCGTTGGGCTCTCACCGCGTGCACGGCGCCGCTGTGGATCGACGTCGGGAAGGACTTGGGTTTCTTCACCGGGAGCGACGCGGAGTACCCGGAGTTGATCGTCCCGGGCGCCGGAGAGGCCGTCGCCGAGTTCGCGGCGGGATGCTTTTGGTCGGTGGAGAAGACTTTCCGAGCGCTCCCGGGGGTGACGTCGACGCAGACGGGATACATCGGTGGGTTCGTCGATCGACCGAGGTACTTTGATGTCGCGGGCGGGCGCACTGGACACGTTGAGAGCGTGAGGGTGGTGTACGACAAGTCGAATACAAGTTACGAGGACTTGTTACGAGCGTATTGGCGGTCGGTGGACGCGACGCGAGACGACGGGCAGTTCGTGGATTCGGGAGAGCAGTATCGACCGGTGATCTGGGCCATGGATGCCGCTCAAAGAGATACGGCGGAGCGTTCTCGAGATGCGCTCATGCACGCAAACGTGTACGGGAAGCCGATCAAGGTGTCGATTACGGACGCCTCGGATAAGACGTTTTGGCCGGCCGAATTTTATCATCAGGAGTATTTCATCTCGCACAAGAATAAGTATGATTTCTACAGTTCTCTCTCCGGACGGGATGAGTACATCGCCTCGGTCTGGGGCGACGAGCGCTCAGCGGCGAGACGTAAAATTTGATAGAGCGATTTGATTGTTAGTCTTTAGGATTTTTAGTGTGACTTAGTCGTTGGGAAAGAATTGAGTAAAGGCGGAGATGAGACGTGCGCTTCGACAGAAATCACCGATCGATTGTCCGAGGCGAATGACGCGCGCGAATGACCAGGCGTGCTGTCAAGAAGAGGAGTGAAACAATATCTCTCTTGAATAACACACAAGTATTCGTAACGTCTCATGTCGTCCAATCCATGATTAATGTCTAAGTGTAAACGCATACCGCATCGTCTAGTATGGGTTCGATCGACCCGACCAGCCACCACCGCCACCAACGCTTCCGTAGCCGCCTCGCTGGGGGCCGCCACCACCACCGTAGCCGCCACCACCACCGTAGCCGCCACCGTAGCCGCCACCGCCGCTTGGACCATTTCCGAACGGATTTCCGCCGCCACCACCGCCGTAGCCGCCGCCGCCGCCGTAGCCGCCGCCGCCGCCGCCGTAGCCGCCGCCGCCGCCGTAGCCGCCGCCGCCGCCGTAGCCGCCGCCGCCGCCGCCGCCTCGGCGACCACCGCCTCGAGCGCCGCCACGGCGGCCACCGCCTCGACCAAAACCAGCAGATCGCGCCATCTCCTCAATCTCCGGTGGGACCACTTGGTTGGCATCGCGAAGAATCGGAATCAGCTTGCGAGCCATGTTACCCTCGTCGGCGTCGATGAAGGAGTAAGCCCAGCCCTTTTTTCCGGCGCGACCAGTACGACCGATACGGTGAACATAATCTTCGATTTGGTTCGGGAAGTCGTAGTTCACGACGAGATTGCAATCCTTGACGTCCAATCCACGCGCCGCGACGTCAGTGGCGACGAGGACCGGAGTGCGACCGTTACGAAACTGGTTCAAGATCCAATCGCGTTCGCGTTGCTCCTTGTCGCCGTGAATGATCCCAGCCAAGTTACCGACGGAGCGGCCGAGCTGGTCGCACATACGCTTGGTAGAGCAGAACACGAGCGCCTTGAGCGGCTCGCACTCCTTCGGGGGGTTGTTAAGGATTTCCATGAGCCGCTTCTCTTTTTGGAAGCCGGAGCAGATCTCAATGTTTTGCGTGATGTCCTTGTTCGCCACGAGCTGATCGGTGTCGCCGATGTTCACCTGGATTGGGTTGGTCAAGATGGCGGTCGCAACGCGAATCACCGCTTTGGGCCACGTTGCGGTGAAGAAGAGCGTCTGGCGATCAACCGGGACGGCTTGCAGAATCTTACGGATTTGCGGCTCGAAACCCATGTCCAACATTCTGTCCGCCTCGTCGAGAACGACGTACGTCGCCGTGGACATGTCCACCATGCGCGACTCAATCATATCGTTCAGGCGACCCGGAGTCGCGATGCAAATTTGCGGACGATTGCGAAGCTGCGCGAGTTGGCGACCCTTGGGCGCGCCGCCGTACAGGCACACGGACTGCACGCCGACAGACGCGCCAAACTTCATGCACTCCTCCTGAATCTGAGTCGCGAGCTCGCGCGTGGGCGCGAGCGCTAACATCGTCGGTCCACGTGCGTTGCGCCCGTTTCCGCGCTCGGCGATGTGCATGAGACCCGGGAACAGGAACGCCACCGTCTTACCGCTACCCGTCTTTGCCACGGAGATCATGTCGTATCCTTGGAGCGCGATCGGCCACGACTGCGACTGAATCCCCGTCGGTGCTTCATACCCAGCGCGTTTCACCGCATCCAGTAAAGCTGGCGGCCACGGTCCTTGATCGAACGACGTCATCGGATCGGGCGTCGTCAGCCCGGGCGGCGCCCGGACGCTGATCTCGTTTCGCTTTCGAAACTCCGCTCCCGTCTCCGTGGCGACGTACCCGAGGTCTTTCGTCCCCAGGCCTTTTCCTCGCGCGTACGCATCCGGCGGCGGCGCGTTATACTCCTCCGCACCGTACGAATCATCCGCCCCCAAGTGAGAGAAGCTCGCCCCGCTGTGTCCGAGGTACCCAAACTTATTCTCCGCCTTCGTCTCCCCCGTCGGTCGTTCGTACTGCGTCACGTTCGTCGCCGTGTGCCAATAGTACACCTTACCCTCGGCGTGCACCTCCTGCCATCCCTCGGGCAGACCGGCGCTGCTGACGGTGCCTTGAACCATTTCTTTCAATCTTCGATCGCGCAGATCGTCGTCGAGGCGTTCACGATGCCGACGATTTCCGCGTCGCGCCTCCTTCGTTCACGTCGAGAGGGGTTGGAAAAGACGCGTCGATGAACGCGCCGTCGAATTGAGCGCTCGAACCGGGCGAGATGTGCGTCGACGCGGCGTCCGTCGCGATCGTCGCGGTGTGACCCGTGGGCGCGCCGCCGCCGTGCGTCAACGCGATGTGGCTAAAGTCCGATGATTCGTAGTGTATTCGGTTTAATGCTATGTATGGTGTCTTTACACGCATCGCGCGCTACGCGCGCGCGTCGCGCGCCTCCGTCGTCGCGGACGCCGCGTGTTCGTCCGCGTCGTCCGCGCCCTGGATCGCGTCGGCGATCGTCGGGGCGACGAAGAGGTTAAAAATGAGCTCACCCGCGATGAGCGCGGCGTAGGTGCCCCAGTGCACGACGGAAGGACGAGCCCCGCGCGGACGACACAAGGCGAAACCGGCGCTAAAGGCGGCGCCGCCGAAGAGCGTGGCGGCCGCCTTGCACGACGAGCGCACGATCGCTCGACGAAGCGCTCTGGATGTTTTCTTCGACCACGATCCAGTTTTCTTCGCCGCGCTTCGAGAGATCCACGCGGCGAGACCGACGTCGAACAACCACTCGCCCGAGACGTCGACGCAACGCGCGAGCGCCGTGGTGCGAAACATGTTTCGCGCCTGGGCAAACTTACCCATTCCACGCTCCCAGCTCACCCTCTGCGCCTTTCTTCTCGCACTTCGTCGCACGTCTTTGCACAGTTTTGCCGCTAATCTCTCGCTCGATCGCGCGATGACGGCGCGCTGGAGCGACAGCCTCGTCAGCCCCACCGCCGTCTCGCGCGCGAACGCTCGAACCGTCTCCCGCATCGGCTCCACGTAATCGAACTCAGGCCACTCCATCTCTTCCCCGGTCTCATCCTCCTTCTTACTCCGCCGCTCCACCTCGTCGATCCACCTCAAAACCGGTCTTTGATACCCCAACAGCGCCGCGCGCAGCGCTCGCCACGCGCACGCCCGCGCGCCGATTTGCCCGCTCACCGTCTTCCGCTCGATCACGTACGTCTTCAAGCGTTCATCCGGGTACACCTCTCGCAAGAACGAACACTCCGCGCGCCGCGCGCCGAGGACGTCCACCGCGAGCGCGCGCCGCGCCAACGCCAACGCGTCAAAGACATCCATCGACGCTTTCGACCGATGTCGATCGAACGCCATCCATCCGACCGCGTCCTCGCCCGCGCTCGACGCCGCGAACCCGCGCGCGCGGGGCATCGCCCCGACGCCTCCGCGCGTCGTCGTCGTCGTCGTCGTCATCGTCGACGCGCGCGCGCGGCGTCGTCCCGGCGCGTCACATCGCGTCCCGGTCGACCCCAACCGCATCGAAAGGCGTCGACCGGCGATCGTCGTCCAAGTCGCCCTTTCGACGCCTTTCGAGCGCATCATCGCGCGCCTTTGGGTTTTCCGTCACACCGCGTCCCGGTCGACCCCAACCGCATCGAAAGGCGTCGACCGGCGATCGTCGTCCAAGTCGCCCTTTCGACGCCTTTCGAGCGCATCATCGCGCGCCTTTGGGTTTTCCATCACATCGCGCCCGGCGGCGCCGCGCGCGCGCGTCCGCGTCCCGCGCCGCGACGGTGGCCCCATGCCGCGCGCGCGCGCCTCGACCGCGGGCGCGGCCTCGCCGTGGACGCGCGCGCGCCTCGACCGGGCGCGCGCGGTGCGAGGGACGCGCGGCGACGGCGACCGACGCGCGGGACGACCGAGCGCACCGCGCGCGCGAGGGACGACCGAGAACACCGCGGGCGACGACGACGGCGAGCGCGGCGACGGGGGGGACGACGATGATGCCGTCCCGCGCTCGCGCGGGGGGGCGCGCAGGGCGTTCGCGCGCAGGGTGCGAGGGACGCGGATGGGCGGCGACGGGACGCGACGGGACGCGACGGGCGGACGGGAGACGATGGAGACGGCGAAGACGCTCGCGGAACGCGCCGGATGCGAGACGCGGGGTGTGGTTTTTGCGCCCGCGCTGTGGGCGCGCGCGTCGGGGGGGTGGACGCGGGATGAAACGAGGGAGGCGTTACGGGAGCTCGGCGGCGCCGGGGCGGTCGCGTTGGCGACGCGATACGCGCGAGCGAGAGACGTGGAGGGATGCGAGATGGTGCGGGGGGCGTGCGTGGACATGGGTTTAGTCGATGACGCGCGCGAGGTGGGGATGATTTTGGCGAAGCTTTTGTCGGCGACGCCGGGGAGGGAGGGCGACGCGGAGCGGGCGTGGTCGGACATCGCCGAGAGCGCCAGAGGGAACGCGGCGATGCGCGCAGAGGGGCACTGCGTCAAGCTCGAGGGGTTATGCTTGAATCCTTCGCGCGTGAAGGCGTTCGTAGAGGCGTACGATGCGTTTAGAGAGGAATTTAGAGACGCAACCACGGGGGAGTGGACGCGTCGAGCGGCGACGCCGGCGCGCGTGCAGCGAGCGTACACCGCGGCGTGTAGGCTCATCAACACCTCGCACAGCGCCAAGCTCGCGAAGAAGGTGACGTATGATTTATTGCGCGATCATCAGATCATGCGTCGCGAGCTCGACGGTTTCGCGCTCGCGACGGATTATTGCGTCTGCGCGCTCCTCGGCGCGGCGACGCCGAGCACGGAACACGCGGCGATGGAGCTCTTTGAAATATCTCTCGAGAGCGGCGTCGATCTGAGCGCCACGACGTGGTCGTACGTCGTGAGTATGTACGCCGGAATGAACAGAGTGGACGAGGCGATCACGATGCTCGATCGTCTCGAGGCGCTTCCATTCATGCAGTCTGGGACGCTCGGCGCCTTGGCCTTTGCCGCGGCTTTCAACAACAAAGATGACTCCGAGGCCTCGATCAAGCTGAAGAAACGCGCAAAGGAACTACAATTAGCTGAGGCCCGCAATGCCGCCGAGCGTTCAAAGGTGGAACGGGCGTACGCGCACGTCATGCGCATGTTGAACGCGCAAGGCAACTTTAAATTTGCCTTGCGAGTCTTCACTCGCATGCAATCATCGGGTGTTCGGGCGACGGATTCGGAGACGTACGTAAGCTTGTACAACGCGCTGAGTGAACGAACTCCTGTTGACGATCCACTGGGGAAGAGCGTGCGAAGGAGTAATTTACATCGCGTCTTGCAAACCATCAAGACGCACTTGAAGGATGTCGAGGCGCTCGTCGTCGCCCTGGAGGTGGCATCGCACGCCGGCGTCGCCGACGTCTGCGAAGATATTCACGATCGTCTTCGTTGGAACGGTCATTTTAAGAACGCATCCGTGCGAACGAGGGTGTGGCAGCACATGATGACTGTGCGATGTAACGAGCGAGACCGACTGGGGACGCTGCAGTTGTACGAGGAGTGGTCGCGAGAGGGCGACGACGAGATCGTCGTCGGAGATGACTTTTGGTTCTACCTCATCAAGTCATACTGCGACGATACGCCGAATGTGGACATGGCGATGGCTTTCCTCGAGCGCGCGGTTGCGGCGACTTCGGTGACGCGTAAGGCGACGCCTCCGCGAACGTTCAACATCGTCATCCAGGCGTGCGTTCGCGCTCGACGCCCGGCGCTCGCGCTCAATGTTCTCGCGCGCATGCGCGACGCGAGCGTCACGCCAACGCACATCACGTATTTATTTGTCATGCGTGCCATCGAGTTGACGGCGACCGTTGAACAGCCTTCGGGAGAGGACTCGTCGGCGAACGTCTGCCGATCGCTCATCGCCGACGCGCGAGAGGACGGAATCAAGCCCACACCCAAGATGTGGAGCTCCGCGCTTCGCGCATGCGCTCGTGGCGGTGACGTCGACGCCGCCAAGGAGGTGTTCGCCGAGATGATTAGTGACGGATGCGAACCGAGCGTGCATGCATTTAACGCTCTCATGGCGGCGCACGTCTCAAAAGGCGACGCGCGTTCCGCGGTTGAAACCTACTGGACCTCTCGACGCGAGCACGATGTGACGCCTGATTCGACGACAATGCATACCATCTTACGCGCCGTCGGAGCGGGCGTTCCTAGGGATGTCGTCGCGAGCGCCGCCGAGGCGTACGCCGACATGCGCGCCTTCATTCGGCCAAACAATGACATCGTCGCCCTCCTCGCTGAGTCCGCCATCTCCGACATCGACATCCAATCGGGGATGTCGGCTGCGAGGATATTCGCCGGCGACCACGCCGACGACGTCGATCGCATTGATCTTCGCGAGCGCTCAGTCGCTGAGGCCCGAGTCGTCGTGTTGGAGCTCCTCCAGCGAATTCGAGATCGAGCCAGCGCGAGTCGCGAGCCGATCGCCGGCGACGTTCGCGTTATCACCGGTCGAGGTAAGGTTCGAGACGAGATCGAAAAGCTCGCTGCCGATGTCTGTCTCGTCCTCGCTTACGCCGAGAACGACGACGCGACGCTCGTGATCACACGCGAGGCGTGTTCACATTGGCTCGCCAAGCCTTGAGCGATGAAAGCGGCGCGCACGCGCGCGCGCGCGTCACACATCGACGCCAAGATCGAGATGTTCATCGCTCGAGCCACGCTCGCGATCACGACATTTGTCCTGAGCTCTCTCGACGACGTCTCGGCGTCGACGCTCACGATTCCGGTGCGCGCGCTCGTCGGTGAAGACATCTTCGAGTCGTCCAGCGCGTCGAGCGTGCGCGTACCCTCGAGCGTCTCTCGACTCGGTCTCACCCTCGAGCGCGTTCGCGTACCGAGTGGCTCCATTGCCGTTCGAGCTCCCGGACCCGATCGCGTGTTCAGGGCGTACGTGTATGCGACGAACGAGACTTTGCTCAGACTGGAGAAGCGCCGGTCGAGACCGAGCGCGCGCGTTGACGACTCGATCGGTGACTCCATCGAGCGCATGCTCGCTGCTCGCGCGATAGAGCGGAAGACAAGTCACGCAATCACGATCGATGACGGCTGGCGCGTCGTCGACGACGTCCAAGGCGTGGGTGCGAGCGCTTGGGTCGTGTTTGACGCATGCGACGACGCCTGGATCGACACCGAGCCAAAGCGCGCGCTGGAGTATCGAATCGCCGCTTACGAGACGACAATGAACAACGACGACGCGCAATCGCGAGGCAATCGATCACATATCGTTGCATACGTCGCCGTTGCCGACATCGTCGCGGGAGGCCATCGATGCGAACGGTCGCATCGTAGCCGCCCGTGATCGACGCGCGCTTCGTATTCGACCACCGCCGCCGTTCACGATCCTCTCCAGATCGACGCTCACGCCCGCAGTCAACGACGTAAACCTATTAGTTCTATTCATTTGTTATCACGCTGTATCATTCACATCACGCGTCGACGCCCCGCCGGCGCGCCCTTCGCTTCACCTTTTTTACGAAACCACTCTTTCTCACTCACAAATTCAGGGTTTTGCAGCTCAACGAGAAAGATCTTTTTCTAGTTGGACTTTTCCGGGTCTTCCCATACATGGAACCACAATTCCATATCAAAATGCACGCATGAGAACGTGGGGTCGTTCGAGCGAACGATCGCGCGCGCGCGCCCCCCTCGCGCGACATATAGCAGCACGCTCACTCGCACGATGTTCACGATCTCCGCCACGAACGTCAAGACTGTCGTCGCCGTCAAGGCCTCGACGAAGAAGACCGAATCCAAGGCGTACGTCGCGCGACAAAGACGCGATCGTCGACTTATCCGCGAGATACGCGAGGCGATACGATCGTGAATGCGTCAACGTTCGCGATCGTTGACTGGCGAGCGAGGAGAGTTAATGGATCGGAGTGAGGTCATTGGATGTGGATAATTACGTTGCGTCTTCTTATAGCGTTCGATCGTCATCGGACGCGTACGAGAGGCGTGAGTTGAGATTCTTTGGTCGCTGAGGGTTCACCTGTGAGTGCATGGGGTTGGCGAGTGAGTCAGCTTCTCGAACGCAGACTGACATTGATGAATTGTTCGCTCGACGCAGCTTCGCCCCGCAAGCCGCGGTCGCGGCGACGGCGGCGGCGATCTTGCTCGCCGGTCCGGCGCACGCGCTCGACGGTAAGCAAGGCTTGACCATCCTCAACGGCACGGGTGCCGCTCCGGGCAAGTACGAGCAATTCTTCGACCCGCGACCGGTCGTTCAGGTCGAGACCGTCGGCCCGGGCGCTGTTACGAAGGAATCCGCGCGCATCCTGCCGAATAAGCAAATTGGCCCGGATGCGTGCAAGACCATTTCCGGCGCGCCGTGCGTTGACTTCAGGACGGGCAAGTAAGCGTCACGTTAGAGGTTCTCGCAACGATAGCCGATAGCTTGATCAGAACGGATCCGGATCTTTAACATCGATGCCGATGGTTTTGGTCGACTCTATAGTCATCATTCACACTCCGCTAAATATCTCTAAAATGCGCGCGCCCAGGACACGTTCTCGCACGTTCGAGCGCCTCGGATGAACCCGACGACGACGGTGACATTGTCTCGCGAGAGCCGGGTGAGAGCCTCCGAGCCTAGTCTCTTGGCGCACATCGACGGCTCTTTCACCGTGTCTTTGATCATACCGATCGCGTCCTCGCTACTCACGACGTCCCACAACCCGTCGCAGGCTAAGATCAAGGCGTCATCGAGCTCGGGGTCGAGCGTGACGACGACGGTTTCTGGTTGGGCGACGACGCCGTGCGCCTTGGCGTCCGCGTCGCCGAGCGCACGCGTTACCGCGACGCCGACCTCGCCGACGCGCCAGACGCCTTCGTATTGCCGGAGTGAACCTGGAAAATCGCGTTCGATGCGTGCTCGCTCGCTCTCGTTGCTCTGCGCGTCGTGATCGACACTCAGCGCCACTGGAGCGTCGGCTCGAGCGAGCACGGCTCGACAGTCGCCGGCGTTTGCGACGCACAGGCGATCACCCCAGACGAGGGCGACGACGGCGGTACACCCAGGATTACGCGCGCTCTGTTGCGTGCTCTTCGACAAGCTCATCTCTTTCGCCTTAATCGCGTCGAAACGAGCGCAAAATGCCTCGTCTAGTTTGACGACCGCGGCGGAGAGCGCGCTCGCAATGTCGTCTCCGTGCGAGCCCCACTCGCTCTGAATCGCTCGTTCGACGTGCGCCTTCGCGAACTCCGCGGCCTCGTGCCCGCGATGTCCATCGAACACGGCGATGAGGTGGGCGTGCGGGACGCCACCGACGCCGTGCGCGATGACGTGACGATCCTCCATCTTATCGGCGCCTCGCGCGCCCGCCGTAGCGAAGACGCCGGCGGTAAACTCGGCGGCAACTTTACGAGCCTCGGGCGTGGGCGGAGCGAAAGCACACTCGGATGTTTGCCAATCGAGTGGTTCTCTTAACACCGCCTCCGCCGCGCTGGCTTGTTCCGAGCGCGATGCCGCGGGAGGCAACCACACCGCGGAAACGTCGCTCAAGCCGCGCTCGGCGCAGTACGTCCCGATGACGACGTCGATCTTCTCCGACAACGCGGCGATACTCGGTCGAGAACGCTCGTCGGGCCCCCAAGCTCTCGCTATGAGATCATCGAAACCCTTGGGGATCTCCGAAGCGTCCGCACTCGGCATCTCTCCCGGTAACACCGGTCTTAAGTGCTCGCTCGCGATGGCCACCGCCAGGTCCTGTTCGTTGTAACTCGCGTCGAGCACCGTGTGGGCGAGCGCGACGTTTCTCGCACGATCGCTGAATGGCACCGTACCCGTGGCGATCTCGCAAATCGTGATCCCATACGCGTACACATCCGCGCCGTACGTGCTCACTCGGCGCATCAACACCTCCGGCGCCATGTAGAGCATCGAACCCACCATGTGTTCCTTTTGAAATCCTCCGCTCGGCGCCCCGCGTTCGCCCGCTATCCACTTCCCAGCTAATCTCGCCCGACCCTCGGCGTCTTCCGTTGAATAAATCGCGTGTTGTAAACTCGCTCGAAGATCGCTCTCGCGCTCGGCGAGACCGAAATCGGCGATCTTCGCCGTCCAAACGCGATCCAAAAGAATATTACTCGGCTTCACGTCCCGATGAACGACGCCGCTTCGATGCAAATACGCCATCCCACTCGCCACCTCTCGCGCCAACCGTAACACCGCCTGCCACGTCGGCGTCCACCCGTGCGCGTACATCGCCTCGGTCGCCGCGCCGTTGTCCATGAATTCATAAAACAATTCATAATTCGGCGGTTTCGCCGACGCTCCCACCGCTCGCACCACGTTTTCGTGCTCGAGCGTCAACATCATCCTCAACTCGGCGTGATACCGATCCAACTCCCGCGTCGTTCGCAGCTTTGGCCGTTTTATCGCGATCGCGCGCGCACCGAATCGTCCGTAAAACACCGTGGAGAGCGGTCCGTGGTACAAAACGTCCCCTCGCGCGACGCGCGCGTCGCTCGACGACGGTCCCGACGCCGCGCGCACGACGTGGTCCACGCGCACGGCGTCCGTGCCTCGACAGCACCCTCGGAAACACGCGTTTCCATCGTCGGGCGTTTCCATTCGACACAGTGTGACGCATCGAAAAACCTCGAGCGATGTCTCGACGACGCGGGTCGGGGAAAGATTTCTACGCCGCGCTCGGCGTCGCGCCCACGGCGGATGAGAATGAGATTCGAAAGGCGTACAGGAAGCTGGCGATGAAGTATCACCCGGTGCGCGGCGACGACGACGGCGAAAACGAGAGATGAAGATTCTTTGAAGACGACGCGAGCGATGCGAACGACGGACGTCGCGCGCGAATGACTGACCGTGGACGCGATGGCGGACGGCACGCGTAGGATAAGAACCGTGCGGATACGTCGGGGCAGAGCGAGAAGAAGTTTAAGGAGGTGTCGGAGGCGTACGAGGTGTTGAGCGATCCGAAGAAGCGCGAGTTGTACGACGCGTACGGCGAGGAAGGTTTAGAGAACGGTGGGGCGCCAGGGGGTGGATTTTCGGCGCAGAACGCGGAGGATATATTCGCGCAATTCTTTGGGGGCGGAGGGATGCCGGGTGGTGGATTCTCAGGAGGTGGGTTCCCAGGGGGTGGGATGCCCGGGGGCGGTTTCGGCGGCGGATTCCACGGCGGCGGATTCCACGGCGGAGGCATGCCCGGGGGCGGTTTCGGCGGTGGATTCAATGAACCGCCCCAGAAGCAGCGAAAGAAGGCGCCGAAGATTGAGCAAACGCTCAAGGTTTCGCTCGAGGAGATGTTTTACGGCGCGCAGAAGAACTTTAGCGTGACGCGAAAAGTTATTCGTAACGGGCGGCAGGAGTCGGTGCAAGAGACGCTCACGATCGACATCAAGCCCGGGTGGAAGAGCGGGACCAAGCTGACGTTTCAGGAGAAGGGCGACGAGACGCCGACGACGATCGCGGCCGATATCGTCTTCACGCTCGAGCAAAAACCTCACCCGCACTTTGAGCGCGAAGGAAACGATCTCGTGAGGACGATGAAGGTCGACCTCAACGAAGCCCTGCTGGGGACTTCATTCAGCGTGTACACGCTCGACGGTAAAGCGATCCCGGTCACGGTGGATGAGATCATCTCCCCGACCTTTGTCAAGGTGCTTCCCGGAGAAGGGATGCCCGTGAGTAAGGCGCCCGGATCGCGAGGCGACATGCGGATAAAGTTTGACATCCGCTTCCCCAAGGGTCCGCTCACGAGCGCGCAAAAGAGCGCGCTTCGAACGGCGCTCGAAAATGGCGTCCAGTATTAGAAAAATCGTCCCTTGACGCGCGCGATCGCGCGAACGATCTCGAAAGAGTTGAAACGTCTCGGTCGTTGTGAAAGTACTTGCGCTCTCGTTGATTAAAAAAAAACAAAAACCGTCGCTCGACGCGAGACCCTTCTAAGCTCGAGCCGAGCGAGTGCGGCGTTCGCGTCTCGATCAACGATGCGCGCTATATGTGCGACTAAAAAGTGCGTCATCGCAAGAATCCAGCGACGATGACCGAACCGGCGATCGATTCGTCTCCTCGTCGCGCGTCGCCGCGCCCGCCGCGACGATTTACTTCTCCGGGCGCATGCCGAGACCCTTGCCCTTCAAAGCAGCCGCCAGGTTCGTCTTCTTGTTACCCGCCGCCTTGGACTTGTCGTAGTACTCTTGCGAGTACCCGGACACGTTGCCCTCGGACGCGGACTTGACGTACAGAATGATCAAGAACGACGTCGGGATGATGATGAAGAGCGCCGTCGCGACGACGCCCAAAATGTTCACATTGTCCAACGCGACTTGCTCGATCGCCTCTTGCGCGGCGAACGCCGGCGCGGCGACGATCGCCGGCGCGGCGACGACCGCCTTTTGCACCTTTTGCGCGAGCTTCACCCCAGCCGAGGCCTGCGTCGCGCGCGTGCGTCCGTCGTCAGTCGCGCGCGCTCCGTTCGCCTAAACCCTCGTCACCCAAATCCCTCGATCGACCGTATCTTTCCCACGAATCGCCTTCGATCGAGATCGCGGTCGTCCACCCCCCCTGCGAACGCCCTTTCCGTCCCCGACGCCCACGCGCGCGTCGCGACATCACACCACCGACGCGCGCCCACGCGTCGCCCCCCCCCCGCGTCGTCCTCGGCGCGCGTCACCACCTCGATCGCGATCGTCACCCATCGATCGCCCGTCGCGCGCGGTCGATATCCAATCATTCCTCGCGCGCGTGCAGACGTACCCGCGGGGCGACGACGCGCGCGCGCGCGCGGGGCGTCGCGCGCGCGCGCGCGAGCGGGATCAGTCCGAGTGCGGAGGCGAGCGCGGGCATGATGTCGCGAGCGCGGGCGTGTGCGGGGTCGTC